CCTGCTCGCTAGGAAAGGCTAGCTTGGTGCATTAGATTTCGTTATTAGTGTCTTTAGGCATTACCCGTGGGTAAAGAGGGGGTGGGAACTTACAAGAATTATTTCGAACAACATTTCCTGGTCAACTTGCATGAACTTTTGATCCCATTCGTCGATATCGGAAGACTTCTTCCGGCTATCGGAGTCATCGTCGGCTTGAGCAGGGGGATCACCCTTGTGATGCTCGCACCACTCGATAACCTTCTTCAAAACGTTTTCATTGACCTGAGGGTAAAGTGTTAATATGGGATTGTATGACAATGACGGTAACAGGGATTGCTGCAGGCATTACTCACGTTAGGAATCGGTATAGCCTCAGTTACTTCACCAACATCCTCAAGCATGTTCTTGATCAAAATGGAACGCTCAGCCACGGATTTCTCTGTGAAGAGTCAATAACGATGGTTAGCATTGCGTATCCACATCTCCGGTATCACCAGGATGAGGTAAAGCTTCTAGCCGAGCAAAAGTCAAGTTTGACAAGATATCGGAAGCTGTGGACAACAGGAGAGGGGCAGACGACAAACATACCCACGGTGATCGTAGCCTGATCGGAGCTGAGAAGCTTGATCTCGGACATCTCGATAATTTAACGTATCAGATTGTTTGCTCGGAGAAGGTATATCGTTGTGTTTTGGGGGGCGAGGAGTGTGTGTGATGAGAGAGAAGTTCGAGCTGATGAGAAGATGGAGGGGTTGTAGAAATACTGGAAAGAGAGGGAAGAGGGAGGAAGAAAGAAGGAGGCAACATGGGCGGTGAATGAGGCTTAGTATGGCGCTAAGTAGTGCATGTTGAGTGCCAAGATAATGATGACTCCTCTAGGGAACCGAAAGCCACGGTTATTACTAGTAGGTTATGAAACTTGATTATTGAATAGGGCCAGTAACCTAGAGCCTCATACAAGTAACAGGAAAGAATTATCCGAACATGAAACAACGGTTATTTGTCTGTTAGCCATATGTTAAACATGTCTCATGTTCGGATACTCTGTATGATACGGTTATTTCTTTTTTGGAAACGCCAGCATCGGTAGACGGCGGTAGTGTCAGTTAGGTGGCGGGTTTTAATATCAAATTAAGAAGTCGCCGTTGAAGTCCATTATGTGCTACCATTGTGATAATGTTAGCAGGTAGACCTCTTCATATCATGAGAAATAGAGCAAGAATTGGTGATCCGATGGTTCACATCAATGCTTTATCCATGATTTAGTTCTTTACAGTACAAGTACTCTGCAACCCGCAAATTAACCGGTCGCTTCAACGCCAAGACAGGTATTGAGCAACCCTGGACGTCCGGACACTTTATCAACGGTCAAGTACACTAATGCGCAGTACAAGTACTCTGCGGCACTGGCATTTTATGATGGTAATTGAATCTGCTGTATGGTATGAAGATTCAGCACAAGTATTCCAACCTCACAAGTTATGAGCCCGTCACAGGTCAAGACCCAGACTCAAGCCAGAAGCAACACCGAACCCTAAATGCAAAGGATGTAAGAATTTCATTTTGGTCTTAATAAAATATCATACCTGCCCACATGCAGTACAGGTTATGAGCTTGCAATGACGGCGCAAATTCTAAGTTACGGGGGACCCGGTATTCATGGCAGACTACGGTAGAACGTGAAATATCAGGATAGACATGATACCATACTGTTCCTATAGTCTACCTGTCACTCTCTTCTCGCCCAGAATTGGCTGGTCGGGTAATGCTTAGTGCCTATGAAATCCTCTCGATCCACTCTCTCTGACAGTTTTGCAAGGTAGCTTACCATGTGTCGACAATATGGAAACTGATTCATGGGTTTACAGTACTGCACATTTATTTAGACAGTGCAAGAGCCATTATAAATATTTTTCATAATAATTACCCCTCCCCCACCAGAGTGTAGACAGGAGCGATAGCTCACTCACACACTTTTTCCTCTTTTGTTGCGAAATTTCATATCGTAGCACACACGAGTAGAGGGTTAAGTGAGAGCAGTTTTCCATAGGTTTGTTGGTGACCGCTAGGTAGGGGGAAACCACAACGACATGGCACACAACCTTCACACTGTCGGTATACAAGGCCAGCATGCCTGCGCACACATTGTCCCAATGAATCTCTTATGATACCACCATTAGAGACCTTAGGCCGACATGGCACACAAGCCTTATACCAGATGCAAAAAAAAAACAGCAAACCAGCGTACCCCTGCCTCATCCAACTGGGCTCTCTTGTTATCCCCCCTGCACGCTATGGCGATATGCATGTCATGCCCCGCATTCGAGGAGACCCTCCGGGCAAGCGCCCGGTCCCTTTACCAAGAAGACCAGGCTTTGAGAGCCAGAATTCCTAACCTCCAACCATCTATTATAGCTAGTCCAGGCAAGTTCATCACCTATCCCCCTCCAGATATGATATGCTAATACATATGATATCTAGCAAGATGGAGTGGGGAAGACCCAGACCTACTAGGGCTAACCGGACCCCTTGATGTTGAACGGAGATCGCTAATGATGCCTTCTTGAATTCTCCAAGCGGACAGTTGGTCATCCTGGGTGTTGGAAAATTGAGGGAGATGGACAAGATAAAACCGGTAGTCGTTGCAACGGTAATGACCGCAAGGAGGGTTTTACGCAGTGGATAGAGATGGCTCTGATGAGGATAAGAGAATCTTGTATTGTATGTGTGGACGATAGAGAAAAGGGAAGCGAGGAGAGTTTCTTACAGGAGGTGAGGAGTGGAGTTGGTTGACTTCAGAGAAAGAGAAAAAGAAAGAAGGGAAATATAGAGGTGAAAATTTTCACCGCTTATGCGTCCTCACCACCGTAGTTTCCAGCTACGGGTATTTAACTGCCATTTTCAACACTGGGATTCGGAAATCGATCGAGTGATATTGGATGAAGGCGAACGATGGAATCCACAATCTTCATGCATTTGCTCTCCTGTACCATGGGGCGTAGGGTGTTAGGGGCTTGGGTTTGGTTGCCCATGTCTATTCGAGGTATACGACATGTGTCATCATCCATGTAGGTCCGTCCCCCCATACAGTCCAGGCACGAGTCGAAAATTTCGGGGGTGCTTGGTATCATAATTATGAAGACTGGAAATGGAAAGGTGGCCGGCTGGCCCCAGACGAATTTGACGTTTAGATCCGCGATCAGATGGGGCTTGACCCTCTCCGATCTGTGGGGTTCGGATGAAATTCCGACTCCACAACAGCGGGATTGAAGTTAATGGGATGCGGGGGACCTGGACCTTCCGAGTGCCGACCGTGAGATGGCATAATAGGTGTCCTCACTACAGGGGCAAATATACCACTGATCATCGCGTCTGACGGAGCGAGATCCTCCTCACGTTCAGACATCATAACCAGCAGCCAAAACCTTGACTTTAGCAACACCACGAGTGAAGGAAATCTCCGGAAGATGCAAGTCCCTGGAAGGGGGCCCTGTGGCACCTTTCCAGGAGACGTCAAATCTAGTCGGCCGTTATGTTCTGATGGATCATGAAGATACACCCAATCCGATTCCTGAGATGGGTTTTGCGGAAGTACCGTGCGGAGCCTTGTCGGCGATCTTGTGTTGGCCCCTAAAATCTACAAGGTGTCCGAAGGCACTTGAGGTAAGCATCTCAAGGCTATTACTCCCGCCTCCATAATGATGCTCGAATGCTTATGATACCGTTCCAATGGACCAATATTTGACAATACTGAAAAGCAGCGATTGTCGGCTTCCATGACACCTACGCCAAAATACACGACGACTAGGATTACATGCTGGAACCCGTACTTGATGCAGCATAGAGATCAACTAAATATTGATTTCCGTAATTTAGTTTGTATAATAATGATAGACTTCTTTTCCTCGCAGACCGTACTCATGTAATATCACTCGTAGAACTAAGAACTGCCCATTTTGTAAATGGCTCCAACTTTTTGCCGACGCCAAAAAATGCTCACATGTTATCACTCGAACTTCCAAACATGGTTTGTTCTATAGTACATAATAATAATTATTATAAATGCCACATCTCCTTTCGGAAGTGGCCCCTTTTGTCTACCTCCTAGTACCCGAGTATGATACAGTCCCAGCCGGCATATTATTGTGATCTGCTTGGCATGGGTTTGGAGGAAGGTACAGTAACCCTCGGAACCATAATACCAACCCACCACCCGGAGCCCCCAATACATCGAGCCAGAGCCAATAAACTCATGAAGGATGTGTTCTAATGACAACTCCTTAGCCCACCAATTCATCATAATCCCCAGGGGGTCTTTCATCCACTATGGGTTAGCGCCCGGATTAGGCAGAAGTACGCGCTACAACTCTTTAATATGAAAAAGCCGCACCTCCTACCAATTAACTCTGCCTCACCATTCTAAATTAAAAAAAATGCAATAAGAACAACCATTCTTCGTGCTGTAGCGACACCGAACTTCTCCAAGCCTGACCTTGGACCAAGACTGTCCTTTCCGCCATACCGAAATACGGTCGATACTTGCATCAAAATCCACCAGACTCCTTGCAGGCCTCCGTAAACCCACGCAAAGGCTTGAGCGAGTGGTCTTTATCACCATTTCGAGCTTTCATAATGGCTGCCCCGATCGTGACGAGATTGCTGTTTAAGGCGCTGATCTTGGTGCTGATCTCCTTGACCTCCTTCTCGAGGTGATCGATTTTCGAGTGGATCTCTCGTTTGACATCCCCAATCTTAGAGTCAATACTAATTGACGCCAACATACCCTTTGCCCGTAGATGATTATCGTAGATGACTGCGCCGGTTGTGCTTAGTGCGGCAAAGACGGTAAATCCCCCGGCAATGAAGTTGCCCATATTGGCATGAACGAATGCTGCAACTACCCTCAGGTCATTAGTAAGGACCCGTTTACCTGACTGTCTGCGTCTGAAATTTTTGTGGTAAACTAGACGGTGGCGTCTCGGCCATCACAATGCAACAGAGGTTCAATAGCATTTGCCCAACTTACGACCGTCTGAAAAACTTGGTGCTAGACGGCCAAAACAAGATAGATGTACTGTTGCAACTTCCACCTCACTGGATCGACATGAGATTTTTCGCCTTTGCCGCTAGACGCCGTCTATAGGTAAACGGACCCTAATTATCATATCGCTATGGAGATATGATAGAACGAGTATCTTTGACCCTCATGTCTATTCAATGGACTAGAGTCAACTATCTGCCAGTGGGGTCCGCCCGTAGTTGCTTCGAACCAAGAAAACTAAGGGCGTGTTTGGCAACCCCGCGACCGTTCCGTTCTGCGACCTTTTCCCATATAAAAACGCTGGTCCTTCCGTTTTGAAAAGGTCACTTTGTATGGGGCAACGGAACGGAACAGTTATATCCAAACAGGCCCTAAAAGAAGAATGGTCTTCACCGGCAACATGTTAATTTTTTCTTCAGCTCATCCAGCTCGATCATTGCTTGTTCCCGGTGCAGGGCTTGGGCAGAGAATTCGTGCGCCCAACCCCGCTGTCGTTGGGTTGTTGTGAAGAAAGGTTTGAGTCAAAACCCACCGACAAAGACTCAATTAAATATGCAGTACTAACGCGTCTTTTGCCAAGAATGCCTCCGTGAGCCAGAATCTTGGCAGAATCGAAGTAGAGCCATGAAAGAGAGATACGAAAAACCGGGATTAGTAACATTGAGGTCAACTTGGTGTTTGTGCAGGCTAGCTTTATTTATAAATGAAGAGGCAGGAGGAGGGCTATCAACATTCGAGTATATATTCAGCTATGTCACTCCCACATCCTGGCTGTCATGTCTTCCCACATCAAGTTTGCCTGGACGTCGCCAAGATTCTGGTTCATGGAGGCAAAGACACATCCCTTAGCCTGTACGAGTACTCTCGTTCACGCACTTTTAGCACTATGCTAAAATATGGTAGAGCTTATCAATCTGATGAATAAATGAGATAGCAAATATAAATTGTAAGATAAGCGCAACAAATGCAAATAAAAATAATAATAAAAAGGAATAAAAACAAACAAACATAAAAGTGAGAGAATACTAGATAGGCCAAATAAACCTATTTAAGTGAATGAAAAACATTAAAACAATAGGTCTTGCAAAGCAGAACATTGAAAGTAGCAATTTTACAATAACTACATGCAAAATAAGTTTGGCAAATTAGTCTATAAGGACCATCAGGTGAATGGTGAAAGCTATCATTATGGTGGGTACTATAAGAGAGAAGCATAAAGAGGAACCAGTAAGGAAGATAGATAATAGACAGGAAGCCGAAGATGTTTTACCGAAAGGGGCTCGTAAGCAACTGTGATGAATAGCTTGAAGTGCTGGCATCATAAGATGACTAGCAAACAACAAAACAGTGCAAACAAGTAGACAAGCCCTCAACCACACAACAACCCCTAAAGCCAAAATACTGGACAAACCCAGATAACTGTACAGTGAAAAGGATCATCGTGGGTGCAAAAGCTTACCACCAAGACGGAGTGAAGGCAAAAACGAAGATGGTACTTAGAACAAAGTATAAAGAGCCTATCCTCCCTGACTATACTGGCCTCTGTAACGATCCCTTCTCAGATAGTTAGTGCTTGGCGACGGGGAACGATACTTCTCCTCCTGTCCTCTTCTTTCTTTGTCTTACGATAGCTTTAGGCCTCTGCCTACGTTACCGATAGTATAAGACTCTTGTCTTCTATCGGGAACGCCTATCGTAAGCTTTCTCTAACTCTTCTTCGTAAGGCGCCTTCCTTGGCGTAACGATAATGTTGCAATAAAGATAACGATCGTAAAGGTGTTTTATATTCGTTAAAGTAATAAGTAGGAAAAGTACTTAGAACAAAGCGTGAAGAACCTATCTTCCTCGGCCGCATCGGCCTCCTTATATAGTGTTCTTCCCGCCTTTAATCATGTGACCTAAAGTGGTCACATGTGTAAAACCAAATCAAAACAAACTAGTCATGTGACCAAAGTGATCACATGCTCAAAACCCATGACCTTATAACAAGGTTATGTGCGAAACTCATAAACCAATCATAACACAATAAACAAGTTATATGACTCTACTGAGTCATATGCTCGAAACCCATGACATCATAATGAGGTCATGTGCGAAACATAAATCATATGCGCAAGGCTTGTCCGTAAGGCACACTCGTAAGGCATACTCGTCAGGCGTATGTCCTATGACTCATACTTGAGCCATGTGTAAAAGCATCACAAATCCCACACATAACTAATCATATAACCCTAATAGGTTATATGCGTGAAACAATAACATACCTGTGACTCATAACCATGTGTCACGTGAAAACCCTTTCCTCGCTAAGCCACATTCGTGACAGCCTCCTTATATAGTACTCTTCCTGCCCCAAGTCATAACAAACTAGTCGAGTGACCAAAATAGTCACATGCTTAAATCCCATGACCTCATAGCAAGGTCATGTGCGAAAACTCATAAACTAATCGTAACACAATAAACAAGTCATATGACTCCAAGTAATCACATGCTCAAAACCAATGACCTCATAATGAGGTCATGTGCGAAACATAAATCATATGCGCAAGGCATACTTGCCAGGCATATGTTCCATGACTCATAATCGAGTTATATGCGAAACGTAACAAATCATAACAAGTCATATGACTCAAATAAGTCATATGTGCGAAACAATAACATACCTATGACTCATAATCATGAGTCTTGTAAAAACATTTTCCTTGCTAAGCTATGTTCATAACACAGTAACAGTAAAGCTCAGGGCAGTTCCAACAATGACTATCTTGATAGCCCTTTGTTCTTGTACATGGACTGAAATTGTATAATCTTTTGATCTCATAATTAGGATATAAAGTGTAAAATGTATGGAAAGGTTTTGTTGATTTTGTTACTTGTGCTTAAGATGACATAACAAAAATCACTTTCCTAACTATTCTTGAACCAAGATAAACCATGCGTCACTAAGGGGTCTGGGGGTTCATTGTCAGAGGTTTTTTTCTCCCCAAAATAAGAGAAGGATTGCCTCACCGTCTTACTCTCTGGGAATGGAAATGAGGATTAGTTTCCACTAACCATACCAAGGTTGTGATAAACCCCTAATTGTTTACTTGCATGCAATCTTGGGTACTCTCAACAGAGTACAGAACAACTCAATGGGAGTAACAGCTTAATACTTTCCTGCCATATGAAAATAAAGGTTATAAGAGAGAGGGGGAAAAAATGGGAAGATTTATTTACAAAGACTTAAAACAATATATGAAAAAGTCAGCATGGTGTTTAAAGCATCAGAGAATATTTAATAGCAGTTTGTAATTCTTAAATTCACATAAATTTACTCGAATACGGTAGCTGAGGGTTATGTACAGTAGTCAACCTGGCTATTTACCCTAATTTTTAGTGAAGGAAAAAAGTCTGTGGCTCTTCGCGCAGTGGGTGGAACTAAAGACCGTTGTCCAAATGCTTGAGATGGCCCCGAGTCAACGAGGGGAGGTTCAACAGACCCGCCCGCAATAATCTGCACCAAAATACTCCACGCCTGCAAAGTGCTCGTGGAGAGAGCAGTGCCCGCGTGGCCAGTCCGGTCATGGTTTTGAAAAGCACGGTCAGTCCAGTCGAAATTCCCAGCAACCACCCGGTCAAATCTCCAGATGGCTAGGCAATCTGAAGATATCTGTGAACAGCCTGCGGCATTCAGAATAGGAGAATGAGAATAGCATGCTCCTGGTACTAGACTTTCTGTATGCGCCCTGGATAGTCTAGTGGTGAAGGTTGAACCTTGATGACTAAGCGCCAATGTCATACTGGAGGGGTATGATAATTATGATAGTACAAGTATTTATGGGGTACATAATCGCAAATCTTTGCCGGGTGACCACAATTGCTAAAGTCATTAACGTGAACTAAGCTAAGAATTTTAAAACTTGACTTGATAGCAAGAAAGTCAGTGTACGAGTAATAGTGGCAGAGAACACCACCCCTCTCCTTTCATCCATACCTATCATATCATGCTGTGTCGTAGGCACCTTCTACCCATAAGGCAAAGGGGACAAAAACCATAGGACAAGAGGTGAAGTGGCCTTTATAGCAGCCTAAGAGCTTGGAGCCATCTCAGAAAGAAATAGGGACCTCAACCCCACGAGTCCCAAGAGTTAAGCCCACTCCCCTTTAACCTCTCTTCCTTCCCTTAGCATCATAACGACAATACTCCCCCACTATCGCTTCTCGGTGACCCTCGTTGGAATTCTTTTTCTGTCGCTTCTTTTTTCTTCTGTTCTGTTTAGTCACATCGCGCCCAACCATGTGGAGACGCGTCTATCTCGTTCTTCTCGCCGTGAGAGCCTATTTCGCTCTATCGCCTTCTTACATACACCCCGACGAGCATTTCCAGGGGCCAGAGGTTATCGCTGGTACGCTATTGTGCCCCCTCCTCCGTCTCGTCCTAATTACTTGCAACCCTACCCCCTTCCCCCCCGCCATCCATACTTTCTAGTCGTGCTAACATTTTACCCTCGATGACACAGGCGACATCTTCGACTGGCGAATTACAAAGACTTGGGAGTTCACTTCATCGGCTCCGATACGCAGCGTTTTCCCACTATGGGCGGTTTACGGAATTCCCATGCACCTATTGCATTGGATTGCCCCTGGGTCCGGGCCACCTAGCCCCTGGCTTGTTTTCAACACCTTGAGGGTTCTGTTCTTCTTGATATCGTTTGTTCTTGGTAAGTTTGTCTTTTATTCCTTGCGTGGGGTCACTCGTTTGGTGGGGTTTGTGCGAGGCATCATTGGGAGCGCGAGTTGCGCTGACACCACAAGAGAGGACTGGGCACTTCAAGAACTCATTGCTTCACCGAGACTTAGACGGACGAGCCTCTTATTGCTAGCCAGTAGCTTCGTAACCTGGACTTATCAAACCCATACATTCTCCAATGCTGTAGAGACCATCGGTGTCGCTTGGGCGTTAGTGCTGATACAGAGGATCAAAACTTCGAAAGTGGGTTTGGCTTTTGTGAAGCTATCTCCTGCAGAGACTTTGAGCTGACCATTTCGACAATTAGGAGGCGGCATGGCTATCAAGCGGGCTGTTTGGAATGACTGTGGTTTTCTGCTTCTTCAACAGGATCACTTTTCCGGCGTTTATTCTTCTCCCGGCATTCCAATTGTTTCCGCACTTCCTTCGCCAGTAATTGCTGCTTTTCTGTCGGGTATTGAGATAGCTGCTAACTGTGTCCTGGCAGTCCCACCTGTATAATTCCCCTCACGCTCACTACGCTTCTCACTGTAGGCGCAGCGGTATACTACGATACGGTTTTCTATTCCGCAAATACACCCACAATCTCACTTACCTCCCTCTTCGGAACTGCACCGATAATCACTCCCATCAATAACCTCCTCTACAATGCATCCCCAGAGAACCTCTCCAACCATGGCCTTCACCCCAGGTGGACCCATTTCCTGGTCAACCTCCCCCAGCTCCTCGGCCCGGCCACCCTGTGCCTCGTTACAATCCGCCGGGCCTCTCTCCCTGTTCTCTCGGCCATCTCAGGCATCTCCATCCTGAGCATATCCCCCCACCAAGAGGCTCGTTTCCTTATCCCAGCGGTGCCACTCCTGCTCTGCTCCATCTCCCTCCCCCGCAATAAAATCCTCAACAAGCTCTGGATAACCTCCTGGATAATCTTTAATGTCCTTCTAGGCGCCCTCTTCGGCGTCTTCCATCAGGGGGGGGTGGTCCCTACCCAGGTTTATCTTGGGAGCCTCCCACTAACGCCAACACCCACCACCGCCGTCTGGTGGAAAACGTACTCACCACCAACTTGGCTACTTGGAGCAAAAGATGATAGCCTAATAACAATAGACCTAATGAGTTCTTCCCTCGACAAACTGGTCGAAACGGTGAAGCCACTAGCGGACTGCTCTCAGGAGAACTACTTGATAGCTCCTATGTCTTCCACCGCGTTGGACCAATTTGTCTCTATCAATTCGCCATCGCAACCATTCATGTTGGAAAAGAAGTGGGAATATATGAATCATTTCAACCTCGACGATTTGGATTTTGCCGATGACGGAGTGTTACCCACGATTCAGCGAGTCGTGGGAAGGCGCGGGCTTGCAGTATGGAGGATCGGGAAGATTGGGTGTTAGTTGAGCTTGCTTTGCTGCGCATACACAATATATTACCATAATATTTCCTTTTTTTTTTGAGCTGGTTTTGGAGCATTTGGCTAGGTGGAAAAGGGAGGATGGGATATATCGGCATGGTATAATAGGCACCCCTGATAGTGCCTTATTGCTTTTGTGGGTGCTCTAAGTACTATTTTTCTTTTTTTCTTTTTTTTCTTATTTTAGGGATTGGCTTGCTGTTGGTTGCTGGTTTTCTGCTCTTTTCTTTTGTATTTTTACTTGCATTTTTTATATTCGTTCTGGAAAAGGATAAGGGAGGGAAATCATAGGGTTGGACGGTATGGTACAGGACGGTATGTACGGTCTGGGGTGAATTTCTTTGGATGTTGGGAGTCTGGGGCTAGCTTGTTACGATATACCATATCAATACAACGGTAATTTGTTGGTATCATTAAATTCTCTATCTTATGTGTCTGTAAGGTTGTCTTGTATAATTTAGTCTGCCGTAGCGTAGCTCAACCGTGTATGATATCATAATAGTTTGAACGTACATTCTGAGGAACAGACTTATATACAGCCTCCCGATGAATCGATACAATGAAAGGCATCCTATACTGTACGTACTCGTACATGTCGTTGTGCAGTAATTCATGACACTGACCAATCACTGCACACGCTAGGTGGAATAGGTTACTCGAGTGTCCCACCAGGTCTTTCTTTGCTCCCCAGACATCAGAGTTCCTGTTCAACAGAGCAAGATCGCCACAATGAGCTTTGGGGTAGGTGAAAAAAAAAAAGGTTATGTCTAATATCTTGCCAGCAATACCAATAAACAAAAAAGCCACAAGTGCTGTGTGATATGTAGCACAGTAACTTCTTCCTCCTGTTAAGGCTGCGATAAGCGTTCGATATAAGGTAATCATGGTATATCACTCGATTAACCTAATGCTACTGCCATGGCGGAACTTAGGCACGCCAGCAGTGCTGTACGGTACATTCCTCTATATCCCTCTCGTCCTTCTCCAGCTAGAATTCGCGCTCGCGCTCTCCCTCACATGCTCAAGCGTCAAAAATTCCCAACTTCGGTCAACCAAATGGGGGAAGTGGAATGATGAAAAGAATAATGATGATTTTTGATAGTGTTTGTGGAGATATGGCAATGATGATGAGATAAAAATACATGTACATAGAAGTAACAGACACTCCTTAACAATGACTATGACAGAAAAGACAAAAAGAGAGAAAAGAAAAAGCAATGCACCTCCCAAACATAAAGACGGTTAAAAAAAAAAAGAGAACAACGGAGAAAAAGAACATTTGCAGCAAGTCAAGAAAGAGTGCTTTTTTTTTCTTTTTTCTTTCCTTCTTTCCAGAGGATGGTAACTAAATGTTGGAATCTGGAAGGCAGCAAAAGCAAGGTAAAAGGAGGGATGGAAAAACAATTGCGCTATGAAGACAGGAAATAAACATGGCCCCCCCTGGCATAGAGAGCGAATTACGCATTGTTCCCAGCAGCAGCAGCAGCACCTCTTACCCGCCTCCTCTCAGCAAGCCTCCTTTCCGCAGCGGCTTTCCGAGCAGGGTCCATTGCCAAGGAGCTAACCCTTCTAACCCCACCACCCGCCGCTCCCACGCCGCTACTCACTCGTCTTCCAGCAACTTTGCCAACCCCTGTGACTTTCCTGGCAAAGTTAGAGCTTGGGGGCGTTGGGGCTATGTTGACTATGGAAGCTCGAGGGCTGGCCTTTTGCTTGCGCTGTTGTTGAAAGTTGGTGTATTCATTGCTATCGGCAACAGGGGTGTCTGGGGGTAGGTCTGGAAGGAGGAGGGAGGATTCGGTATCAGGATTGAGGGGCTTGTTGTTTGTTTGTTTTGGGGTTTCTGCAAAGGAGAATGTTGGGAGTTTTGGTGATGGGCTGTTCAGTTTCGCGGGACTTCGGCTTCGAGGGGTGGATGGCACGGGCGGTGGTGAGGTGGTTGGCCGATTTCGGCGGTCGAAGCTGCGGTCTACTGCGCTATCATCGCTTGCGCTCTCCGGCTCTTTGTTCTGTTGGCTCGATGTGGTGGGGAGTGTTGTAACGTCGATATTTGTAGCGCCGGTTAATCGAAGTCTGAGTTTCTCAATTTCCTTCTTGGCATCTCGAAGTTGATCAGCCACGCCAGACTTTTGAGTCCTCAAGGAACAATTTTCTTCCTTGGCTTTACGTAGCTCCTGCACTGTAGTTCTCTGCTTTGTTTGCCATTCTCTGATGTCATCTCCAACTGTGCCTGACGACGAACCGCCTGATTTCCTGAGCTCATCTAGTTCCGTCCTCGTCCGCTCCAACTCTCTCTCAAGTCTTCCGGTGTACTCCCTAAGATCCCCAATTTCCTTGTCGAGTTTCTCCTTCTCCCATTCAGCTGCCGCAGTCTTCCCTTTGGCTTCTGCCAGTTCAGCCCTCCACTTCCGTTCAGACTCTCTCTTCTCTTTTGCCTCATTCAGGGATTTCTCCCGAAGCTCGGCCCTCAAGTCCTTTCTTGCCTTCTCCAAGCCTTCAACCTGTGCCCTGAGCCGGTTTTCAACGCTGGATCGTATCCTGCTCATACTTTTGTCTCCTTCCACCTCGATTGACTTCATCCTATCCAGTTCTCTCTGAAGTCTGTCCTTTTCTGTTGTTACGTCCACATAACCCCTTTCCAAACCATCAACTCTCTCTCTCAAATTCTTAGCCTCTAGTCGGACCAGCCCATACTCCTTGGCTTCCAATTTAGCACTTTTTAGTTTCTTTCTCAAATTTGCCACAACCTCTTCGAGGTCTTGGTCATCATCTCCGTTAAACATGCTCATCGAAAGTTCCGTGATTTTGTTTTCTCTCTGATCCAACATCTCCTCAAATGCCCTTAATTTTTCCCTGTGACCTTCAATGATGCCATCCATTCGTTCCCTCTCCTGATTGCTTGCGGCTAGCTCTGCATCCTTCTCCCTAATAATATGCATAGCCTGTTCAAGGGCATGACTGGTATAGGAGGAAGAAGAAGAGAACGTATTCATATAGCCAGTCGCTGTTGACGGAGCTCCAGATGTACTCGCAGATAGCCGCTTCAGCTCGATCTTGAGTCTTCTATTCTTCTCCGCAAACTCTCTGATCCTCTCGCTGAGATTGACACATAGCTCATCCTTCTGTTTCGCATATCCGGTAGCAATCCTGCATCGAGTTTTGAGCCTGTCGACCTTGGACAAAGCCAACCCTTCAATCTTTTCGGTGCGCTCTTTCCAGTATTTCCCAGAATTGGAACGAGGAACTTCCATGTCCGTAGTGGCATCTACCTCTTGAAGGTCTTCTGGAATATCTTCATCGCCTTCGGATTCGTCGAGAAAATCGCCAATGCGGCTGTCCTCATTAACCTCGTAGTATCCAGCAAGGATAGGGGCGGTCAGTTTCTGGGGTTGTTTCCCCTTCTCAGCTTTATCAGCAGGCCCTGGCTGCTCATCATCGTCGGGGAGACGTGAGGAACTTGGATCTGACCAAGATGCGGAGCGTTGGTGGTGAGAGGCAGTAGATACCTTAGGAGTCCAGGGGCTGGGGAACTTCCCCGGAAACTCATGTGGAAGACCAGATCTGATGTGGCCATTGCGATTGGGCGGAGTGGTAGCTGTAGGAACTGAAGGATGGAATGTTACAGCTTTTTTACGAGCCACAGCTGTACCAGGAGTCATGAGGATTCCTTTAGTCGGTGAGACAGGACGCCTGACGGGAGTGTTATCAGTCGGGTTGGGTGGTAATTCTGAAGTGGAAATGGACGATGTGTCAAATAGATTGGGTTTTTTGGTAATTTTGAACGGAATTGGTTGCACAATGGGGTTGCCCGAGGCCTCTAAACCTTCAGTTTTATCTAACGGTTCAGGGTTCCGTCTCGAGAGAGGTAAGTCTTTCGAAATGACTTCATCCTTTTTTTCTTTGACCGGGTGTGGGTTCGGTTTCGATGTCCTTTTATGGGGCGGTTTCTCATCGAACTTGGGTGGAGCTGGAGTTCCAAACAGGGTCGTTCGAAAGGCTTTGAGGGCAAATATCGCTGGAGGGGTTTGCGGGGGCATGTCGTCATCATCTTTGAATGTCAGCAAGTTAATGAAGACTTTGACATTGAAATAGAGTAAAGTCACCTTCCTCGTCGGAGGACGATGTGTTTGACCCACTATCAAGTCCTTGGTGTGGGGTAGAGGTGTCCTAACATATAACCATGGATTCTGGCCTCAGCACAAAA